ATGTTTGACATATACACGATGATGAAATAACTTTCTCTTTCTCAGTCGCTGTCCCTATCTCCTCTCTTTCTCACTCATTCTGCTGTATCTCTCTCTCTCTCTCTCCCCTTTATCTCTCACCTGAGTAAGCTACATCTGTAGATGACATAGATATTTTCCCATCCTTCAACATGAGACTGACGTCACCTTTAGAGTTCTCCACCTTAAATACGTCACACGTGGCCTGTATACTGTCGGAATCTGAAAACACAATGTGCATTAATGTTGTCAGTAAAATGATATTTGATAGCGTATTTTGTATTTCGCAAATTCCCGCCCAACATCAAGCTCTCTACCCTTTACAATCTACCCCAGCACACCTAAATGCATTCTGAAACAAACTCAACTCCCTGAGAAGCATACAGTGCAAGCTGCCTTTTTATATGCACTAAGACACTGCCATACTGACAAGATCTTTTGCTTTCTACGGCCAGGTGCTCATTCCCACTTTTGTGAAATTAGGAAAATTCGTGAAAAGTGCCTTTCCGAAGAACACAAAGTCAGGCCAGAGGCTCGAGCCCCTGAACCTACAACCTTCGGAATACGAGTCCGGTAGCCTAACCATTAAACTACTCAAAGTTCGCTTTATGAATAATTTGGCATACCTCAAAGTGACTATCTAAATGTACATATATACAGAGTATCCAAAGTCTGGACGAAGGCAAAATGCATAATTATATTACTTTCTAGTGAATCTTGCAAACTCATATTCAATTACATAAAATCATACTTACTAATATTTCGATTGAATGAAAAGCTATTTGAAGATTTAGGCGCATTCCCAAAAAATATAGATCAACATTTTACCCACTTGTTCAGACTGAGTTATAACAAAAAATAAAATCTATTTCTCGCGAGATTCCTACCAATACGCTTTTTTTAACCAAGGGAAAAAACATAAAATAAACCTATTCTATTTAAAGTTTATGTCCTTTACTATCTTCAAGATGCTGATAATGATGAAGTCTGCCCCTACAAACGACAACACAGCTAAAAGAGATCTGGTTCCCAAAGACCTCTACAGCTATTTTTGATTAGAGTCTTTTTTCTTTTAAAAAAAAGGGAGGGGGGGTGCCCTGTGTGCAAAAAGACGGATGGACTGAGTGACTTACCGACAACAACACTGCTAGATGATGTCTGGTTCTCCGATACAGCCAAGATCTCAACAGCTTTTTCTGACTGGAGGTACAGGGGGCTGCCCTGTTGTTTGTGGTTGTTTGTTTGTTTTCAATGGGAGGAGGGGGAGTGAATATTAGGAGGGGAGAGGCGGGGGAAGGGAATATTGATGGATGGGGGATAGGAAGGGGCGGGGAATGGGAACAAGGGGAGGTTTGTTATTCATATGTTATCAGAGTAGACATAATAATATACCTGTCCCAATATTCAAGGACACAGAAAATAGATAGATAGATAGATAGATAGATAGATAGATAGATAGATAGATAGATAGATA